CTAATCATTAAAAACAATGTAGATCAGAACAAAAATCATACAACTGCATAAAACTTTATCTAAAATTTTAAAACATTCTGTAAAACCACACTGTCTACTTTTTCTGGCAACTTACATTTGTGATAAACACCATATAGGATGATAAGCATCAAAATTAGGAAAGTGATTATCTTTGGAAGAAATGGGACTAGTAATAGGAGAAAGTACACAGAGCTCAAACTCTTTCATTAATGTTTTACTTAGATAAGACCAGAAGCAAAATGGGCAAACTGCAAATGTGACCAATGTGGCTGGTACCTAAGCACTTACGTTATGCTCTATTCTTTTCTACATGCTCAAATTATGAGATATTTGAAAGTTAGGGGGAAAAAAACACCAGAAAGATTTCCAAAATAATAACTATTTCTTCTTACTTACAGACTTATAATTTTATTTATTCTTATCACCTATGTGCATCGCATTTTTCTTTCTTTTGTCACCAGGGTGTAAACCCAGGGGCACTTAACCACCGCACCACATCCCCAGTCCTTTTTTATTTTTTTGTAACAGGGTCTCACTAAGTTGCTTAGGGCCTCACTAAATCGCTGAGGCTGGCCTCCAACTTGTGATCCTGCTGCCTCAGCCTCCTAACTTGCGAGGATTACAGGCATACACCACTATACCCAGCTCATATACTGCTTTTATAGTGAGGGGGAAAAAAAAAAAATCAATGTAAGTTATATATTTTAAAACTCACCTGAAAAGGCAGTCTGTCTGCTAACTGCGCATTAGAGTCCACTTTTTCATATTTGACACTTGCCTCTGAGTCAGTTGGAGTTGGACAAGGGACTAATTGCTTATTAAGAAGTACTGGAACTAATGCCATGTGATTAAATACTTGCTAATGGAAATGTGAACAGAAGTTAAGTTTTCATTTTAAAACTGGGCAGGCACACCTGCACTCTTCATTCCCTGAAAGGTTTGAAATAGGAAATGTGATACTAGCAAGGCAGCTTCTAACCATGCATATGGAAACAACACTGTCCCTTAGGATGGAGAGCAACAATAGAAAAGCAATTTGAGGCTGTAAACCACTTCCTGAACCACAGGAGCCCACCAGTCCAGCAGCATTTGCTTAATTTGTCCTGTGTATGAAAGCAAACAATCTTATACAAGCTCCTTTTAGTCTCTATTGCCCCAAATTGTCTAATGTCTTAACTAAAAGAAAGACCTCTTAAGGGCAGTACCTTCCATCTCTTTCTGCTGAAGAAAACTAAAAGGCAATCTAAACTCACATTAAAAATCAGCTACTGAAGCCAGGCGTGGTGGCACACACCTGTAATCCCAGCGACTCAGGAGGCTAAAGGGGAAGGATTCCAAGTTCAAAGCCAGCCTCAGCAATTTAGCAAGGCCCTAATCAACTCAGTGACACCCTGTCTCTAAATAAAATACAAAACAGGGCTGGGGTTGTGGCTCAGTGGTAGAGTGCTTGCATGTGTGACATACTGGGTTCAATTCTCAGCATCACATAAAAAAAAAAAAAAAACACAAATAAATACACACACAAATAAGACTAGCAGTAAACTGGGAGAAAATACAGAAATAGAATACAAACTATATATTCACACATCCCCACCTCTTTTATATAACAGGGTCTCAATGAGTTGCTTAGGGCCTTACAAAATTACTGAGGGTGGCTTTAAACTCGAGATTCTCCTGCCTCAGCCTCCCAAGTTGCTGGGATTACACGCATATACCACTGCACCAAGCCCAAACTATATATTTTTTAAAGCCAATAAATCATATCAAAATTTACAAAGTTGGAAAACGGATAAAGGATTCAAACAGGCAATTTTTAGGAAAGGGAATCCAAATCCAAAAGTGATAACTAGTGGTCTTGTTACTTTTTATCAGGGAAAAACAGATTACAGTGAAACTTCATTTTCATCTAACAAGCTGACCGAAACTTGTCTTGATAACATCAAGTGCTAATATTTTATTTAGGGAACAGAAGTATTTTTACATACTACGGTGGGAGTGATTTTCAGCCATCCTGAGAGACAATTTAATGTTGTCTATTAAAATTAAAAATGAATAGAACTTATGATTTGGCCATCTACTTATCAGTATCTGCTTTTGAAAAACTCATGCAGATTTGCAGAGACATATAATTGAAATATCACTTGTAATAACACCAATCCCAGAGGTTACCTAAATGTTCAAAAAAATAAAAAAGACAAAGAATAACAGAATAACACACAGATTAACAGAATACAACAGACCAATACAGATTGAGCATTGTTAATCCAAAAAGACAAATGCTTTTTGAAAACAATATGAAACCAAAAGTGGAAAATTCTATGCCTGACCACATGTTGGACAGGTGTAATAAAATACTCAGACACACTAAAGATATTTTATACACATTTAGCCTATGTGTATAAAACAAATTTCATGCTTAGAGTCCCAATCCCAATATATTTTAATAAGTCTATGCAAATAATTTAAAATCCAAAAGAAAATCCTTAAAACTGGAAATGCTTTTGAGTCAAGCATTTAGGATATTGATACTCAACGTGTACTTATTAAGAAAAGTCCTCCAAAACAACCTAGAATACAAAAAGTTGCCACATATAGACCTTATAAAAAATATGTTCACATTTCTGCCACAAAAAATATCTCCAACTGGAGATATTTAAGTGAATGATTTGGGGAAAGGATAAAAATGAGTTTTATAGGGGCTGGGGACGTGGCTCAAGCGGTAGCGCGCTCGCCTGGCATGCGAGTGGCCCAGGTTCGATCCTCAGCACCACATACAAACAAAGATATTGTGTCTGCCGAAAACTAAAAAATAAATATAAAAAAAAAATTCTCTCTTTAAAAAAAATTTAAAAATGAGTATTATATAGATATATACTATTAAAGTTAAAAAAAAAATCAGCATTTGCAATCCAATGTGTCCTTGGCTCTTTCCAGAAATAAACTTGTGAATTATCAGTTCATCACACGTTTAACTGAGCAATCACACAAATTTTTATTGTAGCTGAAAGAAATGAATTAACTGCTTCAATTTATATTTCTAACTCATCACCAATGTCAATTATAGAAAAATCAGCCACTAAGTTTCCTGGTACGAATTAAGTACCCAATATTACAAACCACAACTTGGAAATGACATGTTAACTAGTAAAATGGAGGTAGTGTGTCTGCCTTTCATTATAAAAGAAACCAAGTGCTGGGAGCCATTAGCCAAGTAGGTATGACAATTTCCTTGCCAGCGTACCCCATGTTGCTTAGTGGAAGAACTCGTGGAAATAGGACATTTTGCAGTGACATTGCATGTAGGTGACCTTGCTCAAGGACCAAGGCAGATCCAAGTTTAGGGCGTTCCCGGTTTAGGACTATCCGGGTTTAGGGTGGTTCCAGGTTTAAGATTATTCCTGCTGGGAATAGGGCGTATCCTGCTGCCTGAGTTCCCCTTGAGTTCTCACGGGATTCAGACAGTATTTTTTGGGAGACAGAAGCCCAGTGGGAGTGGATTTGGGCAGAGACCGTGGATTTCCCCAGAATGTGATTGTAGAGTGCTGGTGTGAGTTCGGGAATAAAGAGTTGCTGTTTGAATCTACAAGCTGTGTGGTGGCTCGTGATTTTGTGCCCAGCCAGACTGCGGCAATCAAGTAAAATAATAAGCATTTGAAATAATGAACTGAAAGTAATCCACTATATTTTTTTGGTACCAGGGATTGAACCCAGTGAGTTCAATCAAGCCACATCCCCAGCCCTTTTTAATATTTTATTTAGAGACAAAGAGTCTCACTGAATTGCTTTAGGGCCTCACTAAGTTGCTAAAGGCTGGCTTTGAACTCACAATCCTCCTTCATCAGCCTCCTGAGCCACTGAGGTTACAGGCATGCACCACCCACACCTGGCTCCACTCAGTCTTTTTTTTTTTCTTTTGGCAGTGCTGGGAATTGAACCCAGGGCCAGGCAAGCACTCTACCAACTGAGCTATATCCCCAGCCCTCCAGTCTTAAAAAAATGTCCAAAGAAAGTTGAATCCTAGGTAAATATATGAGATAAAAATTCAATACTTGATTCAAACCCATTTTGAAAAGTTAGTGAATGATAATGAAGATATACCCCAAGTAGATATACAGGCACACATATTTTAGGTTGCTGACATAGCTGATGAACTGAGAAAAAGCTTGGGAATGAAGCAACAATGCTTTAGATTGTTATAGGCTGTTATGCTCTAAGCCCAGTGAATCATTAACATTTATTATTTTGAACTGATTGCTTCTCCTTTTCCATATGAAAGTTGGTGAAAATGCCACAGCATGATTCACAAGGGGTATTGACATCAACAGCTCTCCTTTAAACAAAGTTTAAAACCAAAAATGTTGACATGAATATGTGACAGAAGAACTGCTATGTAAAGTAATATACACTGCTCCCAAGAACAAATAATACCTAGTTTCAGGCATTCCTTTGAACTAATGTTCTGTAATCATGCACCCTGAGCAAGGGCTATTCCTCAGTAGACAATTTAAAACAGATTGTCTCCATGTATATCACAGAACACAGTCTGTTACTATAGGGAAACACTTTATAGCCTTACTTACTTACTTTCTTTTTGGTACTGGGGACTGAACCCAGTTGTGCTTAACCACTGAGCCACATCCCCAGCGCTTTTTATTTTTAGACATGGTCTAAGTTGCTTAGGGCAGTGCTAAGTTACCAAGGCTAGCTTTGAACTTGTGATCCTCCTGCCTCAGCCTCCTGAGCTGCTGGGATTATAGGCATGTGCCACCCACTCAGCTTAGTCCAGTTACTTTCACTAAGAAAAGTCGGTACTTCCCCTCTTTGCATCAAGTCTAGAAAATTTTAAATCTATTTTAACTCAGCAAGGTAACTCACAGCAAAAACTAATCAGCCAGAAAGTCTTTTTTTCCTCAACTTGATAAAGTGAAAAGATCATTTAAAACATTTATTCTTGTTCTACCCCAATGATGATACTGTACTAATGCTTCAAAGAGTAACTGTATTAATGAAACATCAACAAGTTACAGATAAACATTTTAATTGATTAAATATATTACTTTCAAGATCTTTTTGAAATCGCACTTGTACTGTACTAATCAACAGCCAAAGGCAATAAAAAAGTTTAAAACCAAAAATGTTGACATGAATATGTGACAGAAAAACTGCTATGTAAAGTAACATACACTGCTCCCAAGAACAAAATTTTTAGAAGATACTTCATCTTAATATGTGCAAGGACAAATCTGTAATCAAAGGCTGGAAGAAATATATATTAGTGCCTGCTTTTTAAAAGTTTATTTTACATTTTAAATACAGTATTTTTCTCATTAAAAAAAAAAAAAGCCAGGAAGTGCCTAACTCCATGGTTTTTATACCTATGTACATGAGAACTGTGGGACAGCCTAACAAATGCTCTGGATGTAACAGTATGGACACTGGGACTCTTGAATCAAACCTGGAAAACAAATTAAGCACTGCTTATGAGAAAATAATCCAGTTTCTGAACAAACAAAAGAGAACGAAGTTAGATACATACAAAACTGGGTATTAAAAAACAAAGAAATGCAGTACAGAAAAACTCAAACAGCCTGTATGTAGTGAACTGTATTACTGCAGCTAATCAATGGAATCCCTCCTGTAAGAAGTGATTTATGACCTGAAACTTTAAAAATCTAACTCTTTCAGTAACAACATATAATAACAACATTAAGTGTCTATTGCCATCTTTGTCAGTTTTTGTCTATTCCACCATTCCTTATGAAAACAAGAATCTCTACATTTATCACTTATACAAATTTGAAGCAATTAATTCATATTTGTTTTCAGTAAGAAAAACAAAGATGTGCCTCTTCTCATCAATAAAGACATAATACAGATTAAAGTTAAAAAATTTAAGCATGGGCATTTCCAATTCCAATAAGTAATTTCAAATGGGAATTGTCTAGGATTTGTGCCTTAGTAACAAATGAAAAGAAAATGGACTGTATCTGGCAGTGACTTCCATATTAGTGCAATGGTACTCCCCAAATGCTGAATATTATTTAAATGACTTTACAGATTTTAATTCAGTAGGTTGCCAATTTGAGTTTACAAAATCCCTAACTGTATGTTTTGTGCAGAAAAGTTTTGAGATGCTCTATAAAGCCAAATCAAGAGAAAAACAAATTTTGGCTTTGCTACTGATGTATGAATACCAAATGAAAAGAAAAAGCCTGAGAGTTTGCGGAGACTCACTAAGAAGGATGTTCTATCTATGTATCCTGATACTTCAATTATCTATTGGGTTTGAATATTCTAAATTTATGATTATCTCAGAAAATAATTCTCTGTAATATAACTCTGGAACTAAACAATCTGGGTAATTCAGAATAAGATCTAATGGACACAATTTCTTTTTTTACTAAAATCTGTGAGGTCTTGAGTTTTTAAATTTTAAAAAAAGCGACCTTCAATCAAAACCAGCTGCATTTGATGCAGACTATTAACATAAGCATTTCAAATCAGAGGGTACTGTTAAGTATGGGCTCCAAAAAAACACATGGAGTAGGCAGCAATGGACTAACCATCAGCCAGGTGGGGTCAACGGTGGGATGTTTTATTTTGAAGACTTTGAATATTTAACACGTAGCTCATGTAACTTCAGCATCCACTAGTGACTCTGCTGGTCAGCACCCAAGGGCTAGATGAGTCTGAGGAATCCCTTTTAACCCCAAAGTATTAAAGCTAAAGAGTCTCAAGGAAATCCCTTATTCCCAGCAAGAGTTCACAAATCATCAGACCAAAATCAACAGGGTAAACAATGACTCCAAAGCTCCACAAATGTCAAAAGAAATTCAATACCATCTTCTGCCAACCCTAGATTCCAGACACTGTAACATTTTTATCTAGTATAATAGACTCTGTAGTAGACTGATTTTGACCTCCACAAAGAATAGGAGTTATCAAACTTGAGGAGATAGACTCCTCTCCCTGGATACTGGTGGCTGCCAGCATACACTTCCTCATGACAGTCCCGCCGGTACACAGGCACAATTTCATCCAGTAGAGGCTTATTGGAATTCTTTTTGGCTTTCTCTTCACAAGTGATGTTTTCTGTGAGAAAGAACAGGTAGGAACAAATCAAAGAACAGATCCAGGAAAATCGTTTTTGCATCAAGCAATTAAATTCTATCCTTTCTTTGAGATGTTGCTCGTTAGGAATACTCTTGCACGATTCTACAACTTATGTGCATGTGAGCATGTATTATTCATTCATTCATTCGTTCAAATACATGAGTAACCTGCTATGTACCAAGTACTGTTCTGGAACTTGGGAGCCCAGTGATTGAACTTCGAGTAGCAATAACAACCTGCATACTATCCTTCTGTCTTACCACTGCTCCCATTTCTGGGCCCCATTTTTACCCTTCCATATCCATTCAATTCCAAATTCCTCCCCAATAGAAGGAACCCTGATCTTCTGAGTAAGACCAAAGAAATGTTGCTCTGATTTAATCCTTCCCCACAATATACGAGTCCTCCCCACTTTAAGGAGAAAGTAATTTATGAGGACTATTACTTTCTGTAAGTCCTAAATAGGAAGGGTAAAATTTCTAAAAACCATAATAAAGTGGTAGGCATTCTGAGATGCTCTACAAATTATTATTTTCAGTAGGCTTACTTAACCCAGAGATGATTCAAGTGGCAAAAAATGAGTTTTGATCATTGGTTTCTCCAGTGAAGTTCTCTGAACTGTAATGACATGAGGTTAGGAACCCACAGGAATGAGAAAATTATGCCAGCTTAAGTCTCAGTTGAGTATATTAAAATAAATGGCCTGAAGGAAAAGAGATGAAGGGAATATTCCTAATACAAGATTTTTATTTTTTTAATGTAAATATATTCTATATTTATTTATTTATTTATTTATTTTTATAGAAGATTTTTAAAAAGTCTTTCAGGGTTATAACATGGCAGAGTGAGTTCTGGTGACATGAGTTAACTGGGTGATACTTGTCAATGTCCACCATCAGGAATTTAAAACAAGGAAAGTCTGAGAAACTTTCAGTCTAGAGAAATTTAAGGAAATAAAGCTATAATGTGGCATCCTGGATTGGATCCTGGAACATTTAGGAAAGAACTAAAGATATCTGAATAAATATAGGCTTTAGATAATGGTAATATATAAATACTGAAATATAAAATAAATATACCATGGTACAAGGTAAGATGTTAACAATGGGGGAAACTGGAAGCAGAATATACAGATGATATACAGCTGCTCTTTGTGCTACCTTTGCAAATTTTCTGTAAAACTATTCTAAAATAAAAAGTTTTATTTAAAAAAACTAGATGGAACTCATATAAAAGCAGGTGCAAATCAAATTTGCTTTACCATAAAATACCTACAATCAAACATCTTTCAAGAGCAAAGGCAAAATACAAAATTCCTCAAAAAGGTGTTATACTATTGGCTATAAGGAGATTAAGGCAACAGATTGGTCCATTAATTCAAAATCCAATTTTGTTCAAATTCTGCAAAACTAAAGATTACTGGGATAGATGAACAATGTACCTTTCACCAAAACCTTGGGACCTAGAAACAGTATAAGAAAAAGGAGAATTGCCCAAAGGATGGGTAACTATCCATGCTTCCTCACAGAAAATAAATTATCTACCTTTAAGACCTAACCAAACCAACCAATCACCAAATAAAAACTGGGCTCATTTTCTACTGAAATCAAGCCAAAAGAACTCTAAATGCATGTTATGAACATGACACAGTGCAGCCTAAAGCATATGTACAAATGCAGTTCATGAGCTGAATCTTCAAATGGGGTAGTTATGCCCATTCCTAGTGAACAATTCTTGGGAGCAATAAACTCTCAATGTTGTTCTTGTTAATATAGAGGTTCTGATGGGTGATATTAACTGTAAATTATTTTATGATTAAGAATGGCACAAGGGTAGGTAATGCCATCTCCCCTGGGAGGGACATATATTAAAGCTAGAGCTGAAGATATCAAAGTCCTCACCTTTGGAAGTGATCTCTTTTTAGAAGCTCCCTACAGGCAGGACAGGAGAAATGCATTACCTTAACCTTAAAACTTCTAAATAGAATTTTTTTTTTTTTTTTCCCAGTGCTGGGAATTGAACCCATGTCCTCCCACATACAAAGCATGAGTTCTACTACTGAGCCACACCCTCCTCACCTCTTTTTTTTTTTTTTTCACCTTTGTATATTTGTTCTTTTTGGCCAGTTGGCAGTATTTATAGGCAACATTTTACCTTGCTAGTGGTACTTAGGAATAAAGGCTGGTGAGAACAAAATGCCATGTAAGACAAAGCAGCACACGAGTCCACACTTATCAGCCCAAATATGGACCTGTGATGTAATAAAGGATTTCAAATCTGTTTCTAGGAAGAGAATCAATTTGGAAGATATACCCTAATTCTGGGGACACTAATGGTACATACAGACAATGGTACGAAATAAAAATTCTTTGGAGCTAAAATACTGATTACTATTAAATATTAACTGTGAAACTGAATGTTAAACCTAATTTCAAGAAATGCTATGGCATACACGCTGTGTGTTTCATGACCGTTACATGACTTCAGGGGCTCCAGAGTGCAGCATGGTGTGGCTATATGATTAAATAATCATCTACCGGGGCTGGGGACATGGCTCAAGCGGTAGCACACTCGCCTGGCATGCATGCAGCCCGGGTTCGATCCTTAGCACCACATACAAAAAAAACAAAGATGTTGTGTCCGCCAAAAACTAAAAAATAAATATTAAAAAAAACAATTCTCTCTCTCTCTCTCTAAAAAATAAATAAATAAATAAATCATCATCATCATCTATCGCTAAAGCTGACTGAACTTCATGGTCACTCCATGTACTTCCAGGAATCTCTTTAAATTTATCCCAATATAATTCCTGTCAAACATTACCAACTCTCTTCAAGAACAAGCACTCTGTTTACAAGTCACCTAAGGTCATTTACTCCTAGAGAACTGAGACATGATGCTTTTCCATCCTGACAGTTTGAATACCATTCTCGATCACTCCCAATCAAATCAATAAACAAATAAGCCTTTACTAGGTATATATAAAAGCCTCAAGCTCAAACTTTTTTTTTTTTTTTTTGTGGTACCTGGGATTGAACCCAGGGGTGCATAACCATTGAGCCACCTCCAGCCCTTTTCATGTTTTATTTTGAGACAGGGGTTCACTGAGTTGCTTAGAGCATTGCTAAACTGCTGAAGCTGGCTTTGAACTCATGATCCTCCTGCCTCAGCCTCCCAAACCACCAGGATTAGAAGTGTGAGCCTCTGTACCCAGCTCAAGCTCAAACTTTTCTAGGTAACAAAATTAAGAAGACCACCTTCTCAAAATACAATACACTGTATAATCTGCTTCCTACAGCAAGGTAGGTTAGATAGCCCTTAAAAACACCTGATTTTGTCTATATACTCAGTTATGCTCTAGTAAATTAGTGGTTTCCAAAGGGAAGAACAATTGAAAAAAATTTTTAGATAGGATGTTCTAGAGAATTTCTGAATTCTCATTTAAAAAATTTAGAATAATGACCTAAAAACCTATTAACAAAAATATAAATTTTTACTTGCCCCTTTAAAATTTTTCAAACTGGAGGTCAGTGGTGTATACCTGTAGCCCCAGCTAAATAGGAGGCTGAAGCAGGTAGATCACCTGAGCCCAGGAGTTTAAGATCAGCCTGGGCAACACAGCAACACATTGTTAAATAATTTTTAACAATGTTCAAAGTTATCTCACATCTTTAGCTTTTCAACACACAAGGCTAGAAATAAAACAGTATCTAAAAAGCAGTAAAACAGTTAACTGCCAAACAGACATTCCTGGTATTTAGAAAAACTTACGTTCAGACCCTGATCTCCTATAAGAGGATGGCATCTCTCATAGCCTCTTAGTCAAGGTACCACTAATAAAGAGATTGTTTCCTGAGCATGAAGTATTAATCATGAAGCATAAGGTTGACAGATATAGGAATATGTATCATTTTTGCCAACAAACAAACAGCAGCTACTGAATATGGACCAATGGCTCTACCAACCTTCTTCCTCCTCATCATCATCACTGGACTCGCTGACATGCACGCTGACAGCAGTGTTTGGAGAGTCTGTCCATTCAAAATACACCCCAAACCCAATGTCATAATTGTCTGTAGCAAATTCCCAAAAGAGATATGATCCTTCTTCATGGGTGGGGACTCGAACAGTGACAACTTCTCCTCGGCCCACTGTAATCACAGAATCCGCATCCTGCCGAATCTTCTCTTTAAAGTCTTTGATCTGGGGTCGGGTCCACATGGATGGAGCTGCTATTACTGGAAGAGATTCTAAAGGCAACAGGAATTACAAAAGCTAAAGAGAAAAAGGCTTCACCCTGCAGGTAGCAATATTTGCATAGAGCCACCTGCCTGAGGCACTCAGGCACCTAGTACAGTATGGTATAGGGGGAGGGGAATATAAAAGCCTCTTCATGGAAGTTTCTCAGCAAGTTAATTATTACATTCATTTAACAAGGTCACAAATACTCAGAGGTCAACATACTACTTCAAATAACAAATGGAATCCACATCTTGGAAGTGATTTTTTTTTTAACCCTCTAATTACATAGGAGGACTTAAGAAAACTTTTGGAAACTCCTTAACTGGACCTACGGGAAAAATCTAGCAAGGAAGAAAGATCTGGAACTTGGAATAAATTATGACTTCAGTCATCTCTTGAAAAAAGCACTGATCTGACCCAAAATTGGAGGGGCTTTTCTGAAGGCGTTCAAAGGAATAAAAAATGTGGACAAAAATAGAACCACTGGATGGGGCTGGGGATGTGGCTCAAGCGGTAGCGCGCTTGCCTGGCATGCGTGGGGCACTGGGTTCGATCCTTAGCACCACATAAAAAATAAAATAAAATAAAGATGTTGTGTTCACCAAAAACTAAAAAAATAAATATTAAAAAATTCTCTCTCTCTCTCTCTCTTAAATAGAACCACTAGGGATTGAGAAAAGTCTTATTACTGAGAAGTATGTATGTGCACTAGACCACTCAGCAGGTTTTCCAGAATTAGTCACTGGCATAAACTCTTGATAAGAAAAAAAGTGGGGGGAGGGTAAACCAAACACCTCAAGGTACTTTCTTTTAAAAAAATATTCATTTTTTAGTTTTAAGTGGACACAATATGTTTATTTTACATTTCTGTGGTGCTAAGGATCGAACTTAGTGCTTCAAGCGTGCTAGGTGAGCACTCTATCACTGAGCCACAACCCCAGCCCCTCAAGGTACTTTCTAAAGCTTCATAGGAACCACACCATCACCCCCAACCCACTGAAACACTCTTCCCTCTTACTTAACTCCTATCCTTGCTTCAGATCTGTCAGCCTAATTGTCCCTTCCTCAGGAAAGCCTCTAGTGAGGTCAAAAAGAACACTAAAATGCACCTCTTTCTCCTTCGTATCACTTATTATAGTTACAATTTACGTTTTATGTATGTTGTCACGCCACCTTTCTCCTAGCACTCAGAGAACCTTCAACCAATTGCTGAATGAATGAACAAGCTGCCCGTGGAAAGATAGTATAGTTTAGAAAATGCTGTTAAAAATGTTGTAATATACAGTAGCCAGCCTCCAAATGGCCCTTAGTGATCCTCATCTGATTTTTCATGCACTTTCAAGGTCTCCACCTCTACACACATTAGGGGTGGCAAGTGTGGCCAACAAAATATGGTTATAGTACTGATACATCACTTCCAAAGTCAGAGCATAAAAGACCCTGCCACTTCTGTCTTGTTTTCTTTTAAATAATGTACTTTGGGAGAAGTCAGTCACTGTGCTGAGGACACTGAAGAGGCTTCCTGGGACCAGGAACTGAGACCTCCTGCCAATAGCTAGCAACAACTTGCCAGCCATGTGTGAAAAGCATTTCTGAAACAGATTCTCTGGTCTGAGGCAAGTCTTCGCACGACAGACCTAGCCAACATCTTGACTACATACAACCTCTTGACAGACAGAGGGCCAGAACCATTCAGATGAACTGCTCCTGAATTTCTGACCCCCAGAAACTGTGCCACATAAGAACTATTTACTGTTACTTTTCTTTCTTTTAGTACTGAGGTACTTCTGAACCCAGGAGTGCTTTTCCACAAAGCCACATCTTCAGTCCTTTTTATTTTTTTGAGAAAGGGTCTCTCTCTCACTTATTTGCTTAGGGTCTCACTAAATTGCCTCAAACTTGTGATCCTCTTGCCTCAGCCTCCTGAGTTGTCGGGACTGCAGGTATGTGCCACACAGGCTGGCTGTTTATTGTTATTTTAAGCTGCTAAATTTGGGTGCAATGTGTTACATAGCATTAAATACTTGACATTAACTGTCCAAAACACATTTGATTTGCTCTTCTACACTACTCTAAGGATCACCAGAAGCATCAATTCAAACTCACAAGAGTGAAAAAGCGCTCCACTCTCAAAATATGTAATTGCTCTCAAAAGCTTGTTAGCATGTCTTCCTCATTTTTCCTTTTCATGGGATCTGAATTAGGACACCTGAATTAGAACACATGGGTGGAGGAATGCACATGGTGAACCATACCTTTTGGTCCATTCTCCAAGGCTTCTTCTGCAGCTTCTGGCTCAAGTTCTTTTTCAGAGTTGTCAGTGTGAGTTTTAGCCTGTCCATTAACTGACATCATATCACTTGGAACAGATGCATTCACTTTTGATGATGTAGATAATGAAGCTCCAGCTACTACTTCCTGTTGTTTCTGTAATGCTGCCTATGAATTAAGAGAAAGTAAAGATACACTGACCAGGAAGGCTAATAAATGGAATATCTGCCCTGGAGTATATTTTCCATGCTTGTGCCCTACCAAAGCATTCTACCCCAAGAAATTACCAATAAACTTTTATCAGTTTTTATCCTATCTGTAAAGAATATTAGTTGTATAATACCAACTGATAGCTAAAAATGATAAAAATGATCATGGACGACAAAACATTATAACTGAGGATCACATTTCCTGATCTGAGCATCATTAGAAAAATTAACAAGGAAAAATTGAAATAGGTAGAAACAATCAACCCCAAATAAAACTATTCCAGCTAAAAACTGAAAAGAATAACTTTTTTGTGTTTGTGTGTGGTATCAGGGATTGAATACAGGGATGCTCTACCACTAAGCTATACCCCTATCCCTTATTATTTTTCTTGAGACAGAGTCTTGCTAAGGTGCCCAGGCTGGCCTCAAACTTCAATCCTCCTGCCTCAGTCTCCAGAGTTGATGGGATTACAAGTGTGTGCTACTACTATAGTGGCCTGGCTCAGTAACATGTCTTCTTAAAATTGATTTTAAAAAATCTTTTCGTAAAATTCAATTACATAAAATTTGAATTAGGAAAATTATACCATGTAGAAACTAGTGGTCACAGGAGAAAATTCACAAAAAAATTCTAACTGGTAAAATCTGATGCAAGCCCCTAATGTAACCAATAATCTATAAGGACTATTTTGACATGGATAAAACATCAGTAAATTGTATCTTCATGGAAAAACTGACATCCTTACATTTAAAACTGTCATGTTGTAAAAATTATATTGATCTAAGAATTAAATAGGTTTATAAATGGAAGTTTGAAGTAAAAATATTTTCAATGAAAACTTGGCAGTTTTCATAATTAGGATAAAAAATGTATAAAATACAAAATCGAAATGTTCTCTGAATGAAAATGGGAGAATAAGAAGTAACTTTTGCCCAGATGACAATTAAGGGACATTTCTCTCCTAAATCAAGATGGAGTAATATTACTTGGGAGATGGAGACAGGAGGATGACAAGTCTGAGGCCAGTCTGCGAAACACCACAAGACCTTATTTCAAAATGAAAAATAAAAAGGGCTGGGGATATAACTAAGTAGTAGAACATTTGCCTAACCCATGTGAGACCCTGGGTTCAATCCCCAGTACTACAAAAAAATAAATTAACAACAATAGTGCTATTGAAATATCTATGTAATTATCTAACAACTTTGGGGAACTTTAAACTGAATTTACATAGAAAAGTGCACAGATAATAAATTATACAGCTCGATCAGTCTTCATAAATCAAACATATTCATGCAACCAACACCCAGATCAAGACATTATTTGCATCTTAGAATCCTTCCTGGTTCCCTTTTTACAGATACCTATTCCAAAGACCAACAACTATTTTGACTTACAATACTTAATTTGCTTTGTCTATTTTTAAACTTTATATAATTATATCTGTTTTTCACTCAACATTACTTCTGTTAAGGTTCAGCTATAAAGTCATAAATACTTGTAAATTGTTGTTTGCATTGCTCTAGGATAGTTCACTGTGAAAATATACAATTTATTTACCCTTCCTACTGCTGATGAGCACTTGGGCATGTAAGTACTTTGCAAACTAAAAAACTAAGTCACAAGTAAGCATATTGTGTTCACTGCAATTAAAAATATATAAGTATACACAAACATATATACACACAGGTGTGTGTATGTATGTATATATTTATATATGAGAGAACTTTATAATGCCATGGTTTAGGGATAACATTTATTTTATACACATTTCAAATAATGTATCATTTACAAGCCAATTATTTAAAGGGACAGCAACATCTTTCTCTGTTTCTAGCACTGGTAGGCTAGTAATACACTGAGGGTTTTAATTTAAAACACCCCTTCCTAAGACCTGGATTCTCGATAATCTCCATGTTAGTCTTTCAGAAAGAGTACCAGCATCCAGAAAAAGTATATACAACCAAAACAAGTCAGTATGCTCAGAACATTGACTGCATGACAGGAAAGAAAAAAAAAAAAAATATATATATATATATATATATATATATATATATATATATATTTTTTTTTAAGGTCCTGTGCAAATATCCCCTTTTTATGACTCTCTTATACACTCAGAAGTTTAAAAAAGCATAGAAAGATAAAGGAAAAGGGCTGGGGTTGTGGCTCCATGGTAGAGCACTTGCCTACAAGTGTGAGGCACTGGGTTCGGTCCTCAGCACCAAATAAATAAATAAATAAATAAATAAATAAATAAATAAATAAATAAAAAAGAAAGAAAGAAAGATGTAGCAAGACACCCATTTATGTAACCATACCTGAAGGTTAACAAGTGTTCCCATCCTGTCATTTTGCTTGATGTTATATAAGGATTAATACTTTACATGGGCAAAGTTCCCTTTGTTTCTTCCCCTCATGCAAAATTTATTGGCAGGCTGGATAAAGTGATGCACAGCTCTAATCCAGCAACTTGGGAGGCTGAGACAGAAGGATCTCAAGTTCAAGGCCAGCCTGGACAACTTACCAAGAGTTACATCTTGTCTCAAAATAAAAAATATAAAGGGTTGGGGATGTGGTGGCTCAGTGATAGAATACCCCAGGGTTCTCAGGGGGTGGGTGGGGTGGGTGTTTTAACTGACAACTCTTAAAAAAGAACTTGGGTAGCAATGAAACTGAAAACCTCCTTTAAGGCTCAATTCTGGCCCTATTTATCATAACTGTTCCCAGAGGCAACCAATTTATTTGATAAACTGAGTGTGATCATTCTAATCCCAATTGTGACTTTCTGTTTCCAAGACTGCCCTTGGATTTGCCTAGACTGCATTTCTCCTAATTGACAGCAACCCATAAAGAGTATAGTGTATATGAGTTATCCTACTAAAAACTATCTCAACATCTATCCAAGAAGCAGAAAAAGGGAAGCAATATGCTAAAGCAGAAACGGGCTACAGAGGACAGAAAAACATTCCTCAAAAACATTGTTTATTATCTTAAGCTCTGGTTTACTATCTTTTTCCTCCTCTATGGATTATTCAAAACAGGGGTGGGGGTGCAGTTTTTTAGATAACATACATCTTCAAGGAATTTAAAAACAGCCTGTCAAAAACAACAAAAATGGGCTGGGATTGTGGCTCAGTGGTAGAGCACTCGCCTAGCTCAGGCGAGACCAGGGTTCCATCTTCAGCACCACATAAAAATAGAGGCATTGTGTGGTGTCCATCTACACCTAAAAAATAAATATTAAAATTTTTTTAAAAATTACCTCATGTAATAAGAAATGCCACGTACCTATAATCTAACGCTTTTCTTCATTCAGTTTTTTTGACAGGTGGTAAGTACTTTATAAATGAAAATTAAATACACTAACACAGTTAAGTTTAAGGAAGTTTAAGTTTAAGGAAGCATTTTATGCCTCTGCAAAGGTAAAAAATCACCATCTTCCATACACACAAAATAACTATTTTCTTACTTTATTTCTCTTATAGCCCTGAGAGGTTGGTAGGATAGGAAACTTGATTCTGTATTCTAATTTGATAGAGTAGGATAAAAGGCAGAAAATCAGAGCAGTAATAACATGTCTGATAACAAGATGAAGACAAAGCCAGGATAAGAACCAAGTGTTACCAGACACCCCCTAGGCCCATATTCTTTTACCTAAACCACTTTCCTCCGAGTTAAAACAAAATACTTAACATTAAACAGGGATGAGAGGAGGGAGGGAAAGGGAGAGAGAAGGGAAATTGCATGGAAATGGAAGGAGACCCTCAGGGTTATACAAAATTACATACAAGAGGAAGTGAGGGGAAAGGGAAAAATAATACAAGGGGGAGAAATGAATGACAGTAGAGGGGGTAGAGAGAGAAGAGGGGAGGGGAGGGGGGATAGTAGAGGATAGGAAAGGCAGCAGAATACAACAGACACTAGTATGGCAATATGTAAATCAATGGATGTGTAACTGAAGTGATTCTGCAATATGTATACGGGGTAAAAATGGGAGTTCATAACCCACATGAATCAAAGTGTGAAATATGATATATCAAGAACTATGTAATGTTTTGAACAACCAACAATAAAAATTTAAAAAAAAAATCAAGGCATTTTCAGGTAAATGGATGGCTTTAGAGAAGATAATGCTGAGTGAAGTTAGCCAATCCCAACAAAACAAATGCCAAATGTTTTCTCTGATATAAGGAGGCTGAATCATTGTTGGGTAGGGAGGGGAAGCATGGGAGGAATAGATGAATTCTAGATAGGGCAGAGGGGTGGGAGGGAAATGGAGGGGGCAGAGGATTAGCAAGGATGGTGGAATATGATGGACATCATTATCCAAAGTACATGTATGAAGATACGAATTGGTGTGAACATACTTTATATACAACCAGAGATATGAAAAGTTGTACTGAATATGTGTAATAAGAATTGTAATGCATTCTGCTGTCATTTGTTTTTTTAAAATCAATAAAAAAAGAAAATGTGAAAAAAAAAAATACTTACGGGTAGGGAGTTGGAGGAAGTACACAAATGTGTTGTCATGAGCACTACCATGGATTTAATATAGCTATACAGATCCCGCCTATGGCCCTAAGGGAATCCTCTTTCTGGAAATTTCTGGCCTCTGGCAGTGCTCTTCCTGAAGGATGTCCTTGAATTAAGGCTAGCTACCAGGTCCTTATGGTTTCAGGACAACTATTAGGGTCTACACCAGATTCATTTTAATAAAACTTGGCCCATACAACTCCCAAATACCCTTATGACATTATAATAGTGGTCTCATCACTTGTTGCTTCAAAATAATTTATTTTCTCTCATAACTGCCAGTGCAATGCTGAAGTCTGACTAAAAGATCACCTAAAAGTTATTTTATACCTTAGAGGCTAACTAATGCAAAAAATTCATTGGTATCTGTTAAAAAAGAAATTTGGTTCCAATGAAATTAAATATCTTCTCTAAGGCTGAATTCTGGGGTTGTCTATCGTACCTGTTGCTGTGCAAGCTGGACTTGATACAACTGCTGCATATACTGCTGATAGTGTTGCTCCTGCAACTGGCGGATGAGAATTTGCTGTTGTTCGTAGTTCCCTGGATACTGTTGGGCTGCATACTGCTGGAACTGCACGGCAGTCTGGGAGTTTAAAGCTGCCATTATCTGCTGCCTAAAAACATTAAAAAATATAGACTAGTCTGACTACAGGAGATTTTGTTCATGACAAAATAAAAATGTCATTATTATTTATTTTTTAGTTCATAACTCTTAAAAGTGACTAAGCTAGTAATGTATATCAATCACCAAATATCCCAGCCCCAGAAGAAATATTTAATAAAATAAATCTGGCCTCTCATTTTTCACCTAAGATTTTTCATGGCAAATTTGGGATGGAGAAGTACATCATCACCATCACCATCACCATAATTATACTAACATTTACTGTGCCCTTACTATGTGCCACGTAGTGTTCGAGGAACTTAGATGTACTAATCCATTTAGTTCTCATAACAACCCTAGGAGAATGTTAGGTAACTTGACTGAGATTCTATTGCAGGTAGCTGCCAGAGCCAGGATTCAAATCCAGACAGTCTGGCTCCATAGACTATACTAATTCACCATTATGCTGTAATTTAATGGACTATCACTTGGGCAGAGATACTGGATATGACTTCTCTACCTAAAAACATGACAAATAATAGTACAAAGGCAGAAGAATAGTTGAAAGATGTTATTTACCCCTGACAAGGATAAATTTAAAAATCTAAGGGTCTGTAGCATTTAATTTAAAGCTGCCTTTATTAAAGGAAAAACACTAATAATAGTATCAGGGCATACTTGGTCTATAGATACCAATTTCTATAAACTCTTACAATTCTATTTTCTTTCATAGAGAAACCACATGCTTTATAACTAGGTTATGTGATCATTTAACAGAATACCTTAAAGCCATTCATTGAGAAACAGATAAACAGGGGATGGGGTTGTGGCTCAGTGGTATAGCGCTTGCCTAGCACTGGGTTCGATCTTCAGGTCACAAAAAAATAAATAAAGATATTGTGTCCATCTACAACTTAAAAAAAAAAAAAAAGAAGAAGAAGAAGAAGAGAGAAAGAAAGAAAGAAACAGATAACAAAACAAAAACCTCATAGAATCCTAAATAGAGCATAACACTGGCCAACCTAGGGCACTCTACTCCATCCCCTAAAAGAGCAGCATTTAGGGCTGGGGATGTGGCTCAAGCGGTAGCGTGCTCGCCTGGCATGCGTGCGACCCGGGTTCGATCCTCAGCACCACATACAAACAAAGATGTTGTGCCCGCCAAAAAACTAAGAAATAAATGTTAAAAAATTCTCTCTCTCTCTAAAAAAATAAAATAAAATAAAAAATAAAAGAGCAGCATTTAATCTCTCTCCAAAGTAGAATGAGGCCCTGGATCAGTCTGAGACTAGCACTGAAGTTTTTTCTGACAAACTACCTGGTAATAATAGGGAGAAAGTAATGGACCCTTATGTTATCTGGTTTGACCTATATACCATGCCAGCCCTGGAACCTCAGGCCTTCTCCCACAGTGTTTAACATGTACTAATCACTTCCTTCTTGTACTTACATCTCCCTTTTGAAGAATCGATTCCTTCTGAGATAATTGCCCTCACAGTTCTTACTGAATACGAAATAGTTTCAGCCTCCAAGTCCTGTAGTAGTAACTAGGGATGGACCCCAGATACATACAGTGGATCAACTAGTGTCTGTCCTCAGAACTTTTACTGGGTATCACAGATTACAGTCAGTCTATTAGACACAGGGAAAAATTAATCACAAAAATCCAAGTCGGGATAACCTTGCATATGCCAGAGCAGAGTGACACTTTGCATGCATCAGGAAGAATGAAACAGAGACACAAGCTGAGAAGTAGACAAGAGGTCATGTGGATCCAGAGACGAACAGAGCAACCAGGCAACCTCAAGTTCCTACGTCTAGTCTCTGGGTTTTGCAAGCTAATAACAAATCCTTCCAATATATTCTCTGATAAAAGATCACTGGTAAAAATGAAAAATAGCTAGTATTAGTCACACAAATTGCAGAATTATTCTAAGACACACAATGGTAAAAACTCAGGTAACAACAGTATGGTAGCCCATTTTTCATTTTTAAATATAAGCTATACAACAAGCTTACTTTTGCTGCTCTAACCGAAGCCTTTCTTCTTCTATTCGCCTCCTTTCTTCTTCCTCCCGTCTAAGCCTTTCCTCTTCTTCTCGCCTACGTTTTTCTTCCTCTTTTTGTAGACGCTCCCTTTCTTCCTCTTCACGGCGCCTTCGCTCCTCCTCCTCCTTCCTAAAAGACCAGAGAGAATGATCCCCACATAATGAGTCTTGCTTAAAAATCAATGAAATTTAATCTCCCAGTAAAAATTGACAACCTACCTATCTATCTACCCATCCTTTCATCCATTTTTGGAGTAGGAATTGAACCCAGATGTGCTCTCTCATTGAGTTACATCCCTAGCCCTTTTTATTCTGATATAGGTCTCATCTAACCTGGCCTCAAACTTGAGGATCCTCCTGCCTCAATCTCCCAAATCACTGGGATTACAGGCACATACCACCCAAGCCGAGTGAAACAATCTCTTTAGAGAATGATGCAACAATCCCCATCAAAATATAAATCACATACACTTTGCTAGTAGAATCTTACATTATGAAGTGAATCTAACAATATACAAGATCGCATCAAGAATAATTATTGCTGCCAGGTATGGTAGCGCATGCCTATAATCCCAGAGATTCAGGAGACACAAAAGGATCATAAATTCAAGGACAGCCTTAATAACTTAGTAAGACCCTGTATCAAAATTAAAACTTAGAACAGGATGGGGATATAACTCAGTGGTAAAACACCTTTGGGTTCAATCCCCAGTACTGTGGAGGGTGAGAGGGGAGATTAGAAAGAGAGGTGTCCATCAATAAGGTACTACTTAAATGATGACATATATCCTAAAGGATCCCCTTTGATATATACTATTAGTACTAAATGCTTTTCCTTCATAATTCTTGCTGTAGTTGTAATGAAACTTGTATGACAAATTTAGCAATACTTCTGATTTACCCATTAAAATATATATTCCACAAGGATGAGGATGTAGCCCAGTGGTAGAGTTCTTGCCTAGCACATACAAAGCCCTGAATTTAGCTTCCAGTACAAAAATATACATGCTCCATAAGGACAAAGACTACCTATCTTACACCACTACATCCTTGGGACTCAGCACAATGCTGGAAAGCACTCAACAAAATCATATATATCGTGTGTGAGGCCCTGGGTTCAATCCTCAGCACTACAAAAAACAAACGTATATCTCTGAAATCTACCCAAAATGTTAACATGAATAAATAACTTTTGACAATACTTAAGAGATATACTATAATTATTATTAAAATAAGAACTTAAAAAGCAATGAATAGGGGACTGGGGTTGTAGCTCAGTGGTAGAGTGCTTACCTAGCACGTTTGAGGCACTAGGTTCAATCCTCAGCACCACATAAAAATAAATAAATAAAATAAAGGTATTGTGTGCATCTACAACTGAACAAAAAAAAAATTTTAAAGCAAAGCATATATATTTTCAAGGACACTGTAGCTATACCTCACTGATCCAACATTACTACACAATGGACTTGTAGTACATAAATCAATTTTCTAGTTAAAGCAATCTTATTCCATTCTCGTAAGAATAAAAACTTTTCTTTTGGATTAAAAAATTATATCATACTTTGCATAAGTAGCTTTTGAAATTGTAATTAAGCTCTTAAACAGGAATAAAGTACATCTGATGCTCTGCCTCTTGATAACTCTGGGTTATGACTACAAACATGAAAGTAGTACTGTGTCACATTTTTTTTTTTTAATTTCGGCGGACACAACAACATCTTTGTTTGTATGTGGTGCTGAGGATCGAACCCGGGCCATACACGTCAGGCAAGCGCGCTACTGCTTGAGCCACATCCTCAGCCCCTGTGTCACAATTTTTGATAGAAAAATTCACCTTGATATTAAATATCCTCTGACTGGCAAGTTTTTGTAATTCTTTTGTCTATTTTCATTTTTTCCCCCTTACTTTTAGGCTATTTCCTCCTGCTATTTCTAGTCCAGGTTAAGGTAGGAAACCAGAGAATCAATTGTTTCTAAAGTATAATGTAATCTGGCTTCACCGAATAATCTTAATTATCTAGAATTTTAAAAAGTAAAAATAGAACTTCTAGGGGCTGGGACCCTGGGTTCCATCCTCAGCACCACATAAAAATAAATAAATAAATAAACATTTTTTAAAAATAGAACTTCTAGATAAACAAGGTGCTAATTATAATTGTAATTTACAACAGAGAATCCTTAAAACATAAAGAGCACATTCTGCAACTCCTTCTCCAAACCCTGGAAATAATGAATAAGCCATCTTGGAGACAAAGCCAATATATATGATTACATAAAGTCTAGCATGTAGCAGTTGAAGAACATGAAATGGAAGATGAATATTCTAAAAGCTCATGGAAGACAGTAGCAAAGGGTATATAGACCTAAGGTTAAGGAGAAAGTCGTGGTTGAGTTTATGACGGAGTTTATAGTTTAAAAAGACAAAAGAAATGTTGCCGTGATGGATGGGAAGTAACTTAAAAGGTATAGCCAGAAGGAAGCAGCACCCTTCAAAACTCAGGCATAAATACCTGTTCACAAAAAGAAATTTGAACAACTGCCATTAAAATTGGGACTGACGGGAAGACACTTGGAAAGATACTCCATAAAACAAAAGTATCAGCATATTGGCTATACAAGGGTAAAATACGTTCCATGCTCTCAAATGTCACCTTTTTTTTTCTTGCTCTTCCTTCTCTATTTTGTGGGATGCAACATACGTTGAAAAGAGATGGCAACACCTATTTAAGAGCTTGACAAACTCTACCATGGCATCTTCTTTAGACATGTTTCCCAGGGCCGCCCATTCTCTCCTATAAAGAATAATAAGAAAAGTTACCTCCCCTTAACAGAATAAGAGCTTGATTTAATTTAAACCGCAATGTGAAAATTTTTCAATTATAACTAAAAGAATGATTCTAACGTAAGCAAAAGGTTCAAAACTCCCAAGTTTCAACAATCATGTATTGACTTAATAAATTATGCCACAATCTAAAATTTAACTTCATTGCTGTTAATTCCCATATGATGAAAAGTTGTCTATATTTTGTTTTCCTTATATCGTATTTTATCCTTAACTGAACAAAATACTTTGTGTATTCTTTTCTGGCACAACTCAATAAAGGAATCAATTACTATGTATTATAAAGAACTGTTTTTAATATTTAGGAAGAGGCAAATGAAATTGTACTTGTCTTATGTTCATAATCAGATAAAAAAACATTAATATTTAGCCATAAACATCTCTAAGCCAAAAAGTAGAATTAATATCTGAGGACTCCAGAAGCTGCAAGCAAAAATGCTTCAGGTCTTAAACTAAAGACCAATTATTTACATCTTAAACAATTTACATTGTATTCTTTCCCAGCTTTGTTCTTATTACATTTATTGTACAACAAAACACTGTTACCTCCTGTCATTCCCCAACACATCAAAGAATCCAACTTCAGGACAAGTGTCTGGATTATATGGGCCCATAAGAACCTGTTTATGTAGTGCCACAAGCTTCAGTTTTTCTTCGTAAGTTGGATGAAAGGCCTTGCCATCCTTTTCTATAACAAAAAAGAAATACAATGGAAACAATTAGCACTGACAAAATACATAATTCCCAGTATTATATGCTGAAGCTTTGCTATAAGGTATGTCACGAATTGCCTTTAATAGATGTAAAAACTATTAAATCCTTCATAAAATGTGAATTATTTCTTTAAAGGCAACTGGCAATATTTACTATAGAGTAATGCATCTGTCAAACTGCAGTGGGGTACACATAAATAAATGTACCACTTAACACTTTTTTTACACATATTAAAAACAATGTGCACTGGGTGAGGTGGTGTACATCTGTAATCCCAGGGGCCCGTGAGGCTGAGAGCGGAGGATGGTAAGTTCAGTCAGCCTCAGCAAAGGCGAGGCAATAAGCAACTCAGTGAAGACCCTGTCTCTAAATAAAACACAAAATAGCTATTTTTTCATGTACTTGTTGATTGATTGTATGTCCTCCTCTGAGAAGTGTCTGTTCAGGTCCTTGGCCCATTTGTTGATTGGGTTGTTTGTTCTCTTATTGTCTAATTTTTTGAGTTCTTTGTATACTCTGGATATTAGGGCTCTATCTGAAGTGTGAGGAGTAAAGATTTGTTCCCAGGATGTAGGCTCCCTATTTACCTCTCTTATTGTTTCTTTTGCTGAGAAAAAACTTTTTAGTTTGAGTAAGTCCCATTTGTTGATTCTAGTTATTAACTTTTGTGCTATGGGTGTCCTATTGAGGAATTTGGAGCCCGACCCCACCGACTGTAGATCGTAGCCAACTTTTTCTTCTATCAGACGGCGCGTCTCTGATTTGATATCAAGCTCCTTGATCCATTTTGAATTCACTTTTGTGCATGGCGAGAGAAAGGGATTCAGTTTCATTTTGTTGCATATGGATTTCCAGTTTTCGATGTTCATAGCAGCACAGTTCACAATAGCAAGACTGTGGAACCAACCTAGATGCCCTTCAATAGACGAATGGATAAAAAAAATGTGGCATTTATACACAATGGAGTATTACTCTGCATTAAAAAATGACAAAATCATAGAATTTACAGGGAAATGGATGGCATTAGAGCAGATTATGCTAAGTGAAGCTAGCCAATCCCTAAAAAACAAATGCCAAATGTCTTCTTTGATATAAGGAAAGTAACTAAGAACAGAGTAGGGACGAAGAACAGGAGAAGAAGATTAACATTTAACAGGGATGAAAGGTGGGAGGGAAAGGGAGAGAGAAGGGAAATTGCACGGTAATGGAAGGAGACCCTCAGGGTTATACAGTGGAGGGGGTAGAGAGAGAGGAGGGGAGGGGGGAGGGTGGATGATGGGAAAGGCAGCGGAGCACAACAGACACTAGTATGGCAATTTGTAAATCAATGGATGTGTAACTGATGTGAATCTGCAATCTGTGTATGGGGTGAAGGTGGGAGTTCATAACCCACTTGAATCAAAGTGTGGAATATGATATGTCAAGAAATTTGTAATGTTTTGAACAACCCACAATAAAAAATTAAAAAAATAAAACACAAAATAGCGTTGGGGATGTGGCACAGTGGTCAAGTGTCCCTGAGTTCAATACCTAGCACCCCCACCCCACAAAAAAAACAGTGTGCAAGCCACGCATGGTGGCACAGCCTATAATTCCAGCAACTCAGGAAGCTGAGGCCCTAAGTAATTTACTGAGACCCTATCTCAAAATAAAAAAGGCTTGGAAAGTGGCTCAGTGGTTAAGCACCCCTGGGGTTTAATCCCCGATACCAACAAACAAACAAACAAACAAAAAACAATGTGCAACAATCTTTTTTGTCAGTTTTGGAACTGAGGATTGAAACCAGGGGCACTCTACCACTGATCTGCATCCCCAACCCCTTTTTTAATTTTTAATTTTGAGAAGGGATCATGCTAAGATACTGAGCCTAGACTCAAACTTGTGATTCTCCTACCTCAGCCTTCTGACTTGTTGGGATTATAGGAATGTGCCACCACACCTACCTGCAACAATCACTTTTTTTTTTTGAGAGAGAGAGAATTATTTATTTATTTATTTATTTATTTATTTATTTATTTTTTAGTTTTTCGGCGGACACAACATATTTGTTTGTATGTGGTGCTGAGGATCGAACCCGGGCTGCACGCATGCCAGGCGAGCGCGCTACCATTTGAGCCATATCCCCAGCCCAACAATCATTTTTTAAGAGTTTTTTTAGTTGTAGTTCGTACAATATCTTTATTTATTTATTTTTATGTGGTGCTGAGGATTGAACCCAGTACCTCACATGTACTCACAAGTGCTCTACCACTGAGCTACAGCCCCAGCTCCTAAAACGGTTTTTAAAAAATAAGTTTACATCAACTACTTTTAATATTATTAAGCAACCAGCATACATACAGTTTAAAAGGCTATATTCAAAACATATCCAACTACTGAGACAGACATAATATGATACAAGGAACTCTAAAATCAGATAGCTTAGATAATTTTAAATCTCATTTCACACGTCCAAGAGATTTCAGTTAACCTCTCAGTTTGTTCATCAAGAAAGTGAGGGTCATACTGCTGCTTTCAAGGTACTAGGACATTATTATTAATAATAACTATTACATATTTTGCCTTCCTTCAATATTATTGTTATCTATGGCAGACTTCCAAGAGAATCAAGATTGAAGCCAGCACTGGGTACAGTAGCACACACCTGTAATCCCAAGACTTGGAAGGCTGAAGGCAGAGGACTACCTACAAGTTTTAAGTTCAGCCTCTGCAACTTAGTTGAGAACCTGTCTCAAAATAAAAAATGAAAAAGATGTAGCTCAGTGGAAGAGCATCCCTGGGTTCAATCCCCAGCACCAATCAATCAATCAATCAATAAGAAAAAGAGTGAAGCCAGTTTGACTTGGGAAGATTTAACCTCCACTAACATTCAAAAGCTGTACAAAACTGGGGCTGGAAAAATGAGAAATCTTTTTTTTGGAGGGCGGGGGGTGGGGTGGGGTACCAGGGATTGAACTCCTGGGTACTTGACCACTAAGCCAGCCCTATTTTGTATTTTATGTAGAGACAGGGTCTCACTGAGTTGCTTAGTGCCTTGCTTTTCCTGAGGTTGGCTTTGAGATCCTCCTGCCTCAGTCTCCTGAGCTGCTGGAATTAGTGTACACAACCAAGCCTGGCTAAAATGGGAAGTCTTTGAAGAATACTGCTTCTTTGATAAATGGAAACATTAATTATTAGTTGATTCCAATAAGAACAGACTACCAAATTTCAATAAAGGTAAAGTAGTATATACGAACTACACATTTAATTCATTTATATAGGCATGACCATAATAAAACCACTAATTAGTAAGAAAAATAAGAGTGCTAAGATATACACAGGGAACTTGAAGAAAAATACAAAAGTTGATAATAAATATGCAAAAGGATATTCAATTTCACTAGTTCAGGAAATGGAACTTTAAATTATGAGATATCAAGACTCCCTCCTCTCATTAGATAAAAAAAGTTAGGTAACATCCAGAGTTGGTAAGAAGGGGACAAATAAGGACCCACTCTCTCGTATACTAATGCTGAAAATATAAACTGTTTTTAAGTTATCTAGATCAACAATTTGGTAATATATTTCAAAATTGTAAACATGTATGCTTTCCACATAAAAGTAAATAAATAAAGGCATGTTGTCCATCTACAACTACAAAAAAAAAAAATTTTTTTTTAAATGTACATGCCCCCGGGCTGGGGATGTGGCTCAAGCAGTAGCGAGCTCGCCTGGCATGCTTGCGGCCCGGGTTCGATCCTCAGCACCACATACAAACAAAGATGTTGTGTCCGCCGAAAACTAAAAAATAAATATTAAAAATTCTCTCTCTCTCCCTCCCTCCTTCTCTCACTCTATCTTTAAAAAAAAAAAAAAAATGTACACGCCAGGCTGGGGATGTGGCTCAAGCGGTAGCGCGCCCGCCTGGCATGCGTGCAGCCCGGGTTCGATCCTCAGCACCACATACAAACAAAGATGTTGTGTCCACTGATAACTAAAAAATAAATATTAAAAATTCTCTCTCTCTTTAAAAAAAGTATACACATTAATGTTTGAAATAGAATACATCATTCACATGTAATTTTAAAAAAATGTAGATGCCCTATGATATAGTAATTTCAATTTTTATTACATAGCCTTGATAAGACTCCCAAATATATAGAAGGAAACAGATATCAGAACTCACTGCAGCACTGTTACTAGAAACAAATTAAAAGTTCATCAATAAAAGCCCAGTGAAATAATGTGGTTTATTCAGACTGTGGTATAAGTGAAGCAGTTTCGATTATTTTTTTTTCTTTTTTCAGTCACTTTATTTTTAGAAATCTGTTACAGAATCTTAGTTTATTAGATCATATTAACAAATGAGTCGTATAATTCAATAAATAAACAAAAAGACAACATCAAGTATCATGACTTGTCACATAATGGGCTGTTTATATTGGCCCTGGAAATCAAGAGTTAGTAAGAATATCTTTCAGAGATGAGGAGAGAGGTTCACAATATAAATAGAAGCAAGAATCTAAAGGAAAGTCCAAAGAAGTAGGAGAACTTGGAAGTAATGGTAACAGTAAAAATTATGTAAACTTGTCTCCATCATTAAATATATGGTCAGGGCTTGTGGTAATTTTTTATGAACCTTCAGTGAAAATAGTACAAACAATCTGGCCTTAGGACAGCCGTTTATTTTTAGGTTTCCAATTCAGATTTCTTTCTTATCCCAGAGTTCAGCTCTGAGCTGTGGCATAGAATCATGGAGAGGGGGTGCTCAGATCACGTTATTTAAGATGATATGTCATGAGCTTTGTAATGTTTTGAACAACCAATTTAAAAAAAAAAAAGCATAAAAAAAAATATGCAGCCAATTTGCTTAGATGTAATTCAGAGAATCTGAATCTTTGCTTACTAGATTCTTTGAATTTCACATCTTTTATTCTGTGAAAGAGGATAATAATACCTGTTACACAGACTTCATGTAAAGTTTCAATAAATTAA